TCAAAAAAGCACCAGTTTTGCGCAGCCGATTGAATAAACACTATATCGTCGAGACCGTCGCGTCTTCCGAAAAATACATACCAGTAACTGGCGAATACGATGGTGCACACAGATTCCTGAAAAATTGAATAATCGGGAGCTCGAATTAATCTATCAGTTTATCAGCTATAAACCATGTACCATGCACATTGAACCAGCCACTGTAGTTTCGATAACCAGAAAATGGGACAATGTGGATTTTTGGAGGTGATCTCATGCTTAGTTAGTTCGGGGGTAGGATAGCAACGCATTGAAGGCGATAGCTTTGATGGATTGGTGTCACCGACTTTGCGATTGGGCCGTTTCTGCGAGTGTAATTGGATGAGTCCCGGGGTCCCCAAGTGTATTGGTTAGTGTTCTCATACGTCCTTGCCAGGCCATACACTGTCCACCTCTCGATCGCTTCTACTCACCACAGGACTAAGCGGAAAATGAAGATCCAGGAAAGTTCAGGAAGACACGTTCAAAGAGAGGATGGATATTCAGCTTTGTAAACAAGTTGCATATGAGAGTTTTGCTTCTCTGTCCAATAACCTGTGATTGTTCAGTTGGCATTTTCTAATAAACAGCTCCGCAGTAAGGCCTGCTTCTTTTCATCAGGACATTGTGCGCTGGGTCTTACACACTGATATGGCCAGTAAAACATTCGATCCAAAAGCCCCTTTATGCAACGAGACAGCGTGACCTTGGAGCACACCGCTCTACTGAATCGCTTTTCATTCCACATGGTCTTGGAATGGAAAGGTAAAAAAATAAAAAAAAGCCAAACTGTTAAGTCTTCATTAGTGCATCGCAGTGTACATCCTGTGGGACATGTCGAGGACTCACGTAAATCCCAGGTGAACCCATCGTTTCATCACTTTAGCGTGTTGTAAAAAGGTCGCATCATATTTCAGTTGGCAGTATATTTTCATAGAGGAAACTACTCACAAGGTTGCCGAAAACTCATCTCGTTTATGATGCAGGTTGCGTTCTGTTTGGGGCCCATTATGTAGACGCAGTCCCCGAGTTACGTTCTACTTGAACCCGAATTAGACCGATTTCGACAAATACACACATTTGTGTATGAATTCCGGTTTCAATGGGGGACTCAACTGAATATCTCGTTTATGATATCCTTCAACTGAATGTGCTGTACAAGGGCTGGTTCATGTTTCAGTTGGCACAATATTTGCTATATAGCAGTCATGGAGGAAACTATTCATAAGGTTTCCAAAAACTCCTCGGTAACCCAAGAACAGTTTCGCCCTTCTTGGGGCTTGTCAGATAGGATAACCCAAGAACAGTTTCGCCCTCCTTGGGGCCTTTTCCAGGGTTTCGTCCTACTTGAGACTCACAAACGAGAAATCCATATGAGATTTGGATGAGTCATCCATGAAAACCAAACTGATGTGTAAATGAATGTACTTGGCGAATTTGGTGCAATTTGGATCCAAGTAGAACGTAAACTTGACGGAACCTCGATGACTGCGCCTATCTGACAAGCCCCAAGAAGGGCGAAACCGGTCGGGAGCTTTCAGAGTTTTCAGAAAGCTTATAAGCACTGTTTTCTTGAAGTAAGCCAGAAGTAACCCCATATGATCACATCTAAACTCAGTGTTATGCTGTGACATTTCAATCTGTCTTTTGACTAGTTTTCAAATGTAGATATGTTTACCTCTTAGAGTTGGAGCGTCAGATGTCGGAGGAAACGTTTCACAATCAGTGACAATTAGTGAGCAATGAGCGGCCACACAGAGGCTTGGTAGGACGGGGTTCCCTCGAACTGTGCCCCTGTATACTGGACGCAAGGTTTCGAGGAGAGGTGTTTTAGCTCCATAGTAGCCCCGTATAGATGGCCTCATTCAGGTGCATGCGGCCTGCGCATGAGTACAATATATCAGCGGCCTACACATCCAAAGTTGGTGTCTCATCTTCAGATGGCACGTTAAGTCAACGATTTCATCTACGTTGGATTTGTCGTATGGTCATACTGACGCATAGAGATCAGAGGCCCTGCATACCTGGTCTCAGGTGATTGTATGAACTCCCAGTATATTGCCATCCTTTACCAATCGTGTGATAACGGAAACCCTGATTCCACATGATTTGCACTGAAACCCTTCGTATTTTTGCGCAACCGAAAAAGGTGTACGATCCAGGGGACGTCTAGGGGTGCCACTAACCGTTTAGACATGACTGGCGGCTTCAAGTGGCACAAACAGCTTCAAACAGCAAACGAAACAGTGAAAATTGAAGTGACAAGGTAGAAAAACCACCTGATTTGCCCTTGCATACTATGGAGACCAGCTTATTTTGTACTTTCACAATGAAAGAGTCTGACGTTTCGCCGCACCGAAATGGATGCTTTTCTCCAAGTCAAGTCGGACTATTGCCTTTTGTTCATCACGAGCCTGTGGAACAAACGCCCCAGCAGCAGCGCTCATTTACGCAACACAATTACCGTTGGTCGATGTGTGCGCTTCACTTGGGCTTAGCGTAATAAACTGAGGTGGTCTGGTCACGTGTCAAGTTAGTTCCCACTGTCTGGTTCTAAGTAGCACGAACACGGTGCTGGTAAAGGTTTGAATTGAATGAAGAAATGTAAGGACGGATGAAAAAAGAGCCCAAATAACGTTGCTGCTGCCCAGTTTCCAGGACCACATCTGTTGTCTCACACGAATTGCTCGAATATATGGCAGACAACTGCCTGCAAGTGTTTTTCTTATCAGTTTTAGTGAAAACATACTAAGAAATGTATGAGTGATGGGAATTCGTTCCCTTACCTCTTCAGGAGACGCAACTATTCAACACTCATGCTCCTACCGGTAAGGAAAATGAACTCAAGGTCACAAACACATTCAGGGAGGTTCACCGGAAATGCTTCATTCTCAACAAGAGCTTCACGGGCCTCCTGTACAGCAATGGACCGCCAAAGTGGATGACAATTTGGCATACTCCGAATAAGACCATTTGGACTTTTCGAGTGGGAACAGCTGGTTTTTGGAACACTGCTAGATCCCTTAGTAGATAGTCCACCGCAAACGCAAGTAAGCATCTAAGTGACTGGATAATCAAACCTCTAGTGAGAAGAAACCTTAGCAACGCCACTGCTTTTTTCCAGGAGAAACAAATGGGAGACATTCAAGGTCGCGCAATAGTGCAACGGGTTGAGATCTGTAGAACACCCGGAAATACTGCTCCAGTCAACTGATCAAACGGATCACGTGACTTGTATCTGACCTCCTATGAGGTGCTAGGTTAATGGCAAGATGCAGATCCATATTAGCAAAAAGTACTCGACCAGAAAAAAAGTGATTCGCGATCGTCTTCCCCGTCAGCATCATAGAACGTCACAATATTTTCCAACTGGGCATCTCAAATTCAAAGCCTTAATGGTTCGTAACTCTGAAATATTCGTACCCCCCTGCTAGCGCATTTTCTGAAGGACTGGCGTGGACTGCCTACCAAACAGATGTATCAGGAGATTTGTGATTGATGCCGGTTCCATTGGGAACGAAGCTAAACACTCTAAGGTAGATAGACTGACCCAGGTTGGAGAGCTTTCCTTACGAACTTCTCGCTATGAATTAGTTTGGTCGCAGGTGAGCACTATAAATGTGGTGAAATCCCACCAACACAACGGAAAGGTTAGTGTTCTTTTACACATGGAAATTCACGACAGTCGACGGCACGGACATGGCCTCCCCGAACAGAAAATCGGCAACTGTTGACCCGCAGACAACGCGTCGGGATTCATCTACCCTGGACCATTTGAGTAGCAGAATTTTGCCAGTTACCGGGCAAATAACGACGACGACCTGAGAAAGAAGTAACCGCAATGGCTTTCTGTGAAGCTGAAAAAACAACAGATTGGGATAGCCTGAGGCAGTTATCTGTGAAACTAAAAACACAACAGATTGGGATAGCCTGAGGCAGTTATATAGGTACTGACATTGACTCAACATAGAACTCTATCTTGCTGCGTTGTGCAGTAAGTAGGCCCTTCCTTGGCGCCACCGTTGGTAACGATACCAGGTGCCGAACTGCCTACGTTACTTCTGAACTGTTCAGACTAACCATCAATAAGCGCATGTGGACAAAAAAGGTGTGCAGAAATTAGTCTAGTAGCAAAGGCCACCGACACCCGGATTTAGATACACCAGCAAAAGTTTTTCCCTAAAATTAAACTCCCCAGCTGTAGTTGCATGGTTGTCACCTCTGCAGGCCTACTGCCAAAATGCAATACAGACCGGTCAGAATTTTCGGTCAAAAACTCGCAGTTCAACCCCAATACAAGCCAAACGATTTGCGACCGTGCACTATATCCGTGAGTGGTAAGCAGGAAAACCGATCGCCTGACCATAGCTGGCAGATCACAATCAGATGAGGGACCCGTTTTACATGTGAGCTTCGGCGATTCAAGTCGAAGTCCCACCGATTATCTGTGGTAGTCAGAGAAAACACCATTCACCGCAGCGGCGACCGACAAGATCCCCAACACTTTTCAGCCCGGCATATCAACTCCTGGTAACAGTTTAGACAGACACTGGTTTCGCTTACAGAGTCCACTGGTGACGACAATGATATCAGCAGACTGTTTCAAGAAGGCATCCAAACAAATAGTAGTGGTTGGCATCCGAACAACCGTCGGTGTCGGACCGTGCACAAATTGGAGAAAAACTATGAGATTCAGGAATTCCATACAGCCAACGCGGTAAAATCTCCTCACAGGTATTAAGTCACGTGACCTACAAAAGGCTGTGCAGGGAGATAGGTTGTCTGATAACTTATCAGAAGCGTTAGAACAACAGTATGCTTAATCTGTCTATCGCTAACCCTGTTTCTTCAAATAAAGCCGCTGATAAAAGTGAGACCCCTTCCTGGTGGTAAGGGAGAAACGCCCGAGATTTATTGCATCAAAATGGCTCAGAAACGGATGCGAAAACACAGGATGTGCACAAAGATACGTAGCAACTCACTCTCCTTCCCGATAGTCGGGTAAATATCGCCTAACACTGATCTTGTCACTAGCATACTGGTTGAACGCGTTATCTTGCCAGCCCTGGTCGAATTTCACTTGATCTTCGCCTAACTGATCACGATTCACAGAATACGCTTTTCCACCCTCACCTGTGAATTGCAGCGGAAAAGAGGAAAACAGGGGAATAGATGTGATCATGCGGAAAAAACACATGAAAACAAGAAAACGACCATGAACAAGTGATATTGATAAGAAGTGACCGGGTGTGAGGCAAGTGGAGAAGTTTCGTAAGCGACTGGATGGTTGTTTTTCCTAATCGCTCCGAAACATGGCGCACATTGGCTCTATGTACATAATTTGATCTTACTGATCGCGCGATACGACCCAAAAGGGCGAAAATGAACACACTACTCTTTTCAACGGCTCACCACCGGTGTCGCCCTTCTTCAGAATCACCGAGTAAGCGAATTGTCCCAGTCTCGATGAACCTTACGTTCTACTTGAACATCAAATTGTATGCGATTAACGAAAAAGCGCTTATTGGCCGTCAAAAGATATTCAAATGAATCTCTCCTTAGTGACACGTGACTGGCAACTAGTTGTTTATTCAACCGGGATGTTTGCAAGTTGACAATGCTCTGAACATGGTCTACAGTTGGACAAAACACGAAGGTTGCAACCACCACAAAAGCCAGCAGGCACTGAGAAATCCCATTCTATCCCGGCTAACCTTACAGATGAAAGCCCAAACCAGGAAAAGCGTAGTGACCGAAACCTCATCGGATGGATCCACATCCATACTTTGGGCTATCAAAACAGCTGTAGGAGGTCCTACGTGGTAAAGCGAAGCATAAGATAAAAAGATAATCAGTCCTGCTATAACACCCTTTTGGTGCCAAAATGCAACGTCACCCGAAGGAAGGACGAGGGTTGAGATACTGTCAGGTTGCCCAGGTTGGGTTCGAAACACGGACATTCCCGTCAGTAAAAAACTCTAACCACTGAACCATCTCGCGGAGCAGGAAATTATTCAGTCAAAACAAAGAGTCAACATCATATCCCAGCCAGTATCTTTAGTTAAGGAGAGCAAGGAGAGCCATTAGTCGGCCATGAGATCGGGGAACGCAGATTTTTGCGCGTCATAAGGAGTGTCCAGAATATGCTACACAACTACAGTCATATCAAATGAAGCAACAGAGACCTTTTCATGGGGCTGAGTCTTCTTCAAACAGGCCAGTTTAGTTCACTTCAGCCTATCAGTTGTAAACTATGTACCAAGAATACGTTGGTTCCAGCTGCTACAGTTTCGGCCACTGCGAAATTCTAGCATTTGAAGCTCACCATCCTCGTCATCATCGTTAAAAACTCGTTCAGCTGTAGCACTCTTTCGGTGCCTAACTGCCATGCCGCCCGAAGGTTGCACGAGGGCTGGGATACCGCCAGGTTGTCCAAGCCTAGACAAGGAAAGTCGAGCAGCAGAGGTCGGGTTCGAACCACGGACGCTCCAGTCAATAAATCCGCTCTACGACCATTTGGGCCATCTCACCTCATCATCATCGATAGCATGACGTAAGCGTTCAGCACTGATGTACAACCACGATTAATTTGAGTCTTATTGTGACGAAGAGAATAAAGGTAAATAAGGAATAAACTTAGTGCTAGCTTGCTAAAACCAGTCCGGACACTCACTCAGACAACCTGGGTAGAAACTGACAAAAAGAACGCCACTGACATCGACTAACAGCCACAACGTGCAGCGTCTCCAACCAGTGGGGATCTCGTGGTTCGCATCCTGGAAAGCGAGTAACACCAACGTTTCGCAATCTATCTCATACCTCTCTGCCACCTCAAGGGTTGACCACTTCTCTGCTTCCGTCACTCTGAATTGGGTATGGAAAACAGCAATTTCTTCGGCAAACGATGGTTCGGCATGAGCAATAAATGGCATAGCGAACGCAGATTTTTGGTTCTGGACACACTCTTCAATAGAAGCTCCCGTTTGACAACCGAAAACTCGCTTTCTAATTGCCTCGTTGAGGATTCATTGACACCGACCCACACAATACATGGTTCTGAGACGACGATTGTTGACCACCTAAAGACGTCTGAGTTCCGAGGCTTGAACAGGTCAAGTCTCGCTGCCATACAAGAAAGCACCCCACACTGTAGTCTGATACGCAAGTCCCTTACGATTCAGGGATATCTCGCTCTGGAGGCAATAGTACGAGTCGGGTCGCACTATATATTGATCTGGTGAAAGGGGAAACCAGACTAACATGCACTGAGGACGTTAGCTTTGCTGCAGGAGCGCCGCCGACTGCACAACTGAGCCATGTCTACCAGTGTCATTAACCACTGATGAGGCGAGTTTTTGAGTCCCCATCTAGGGGATTAGCGGCAGCTATCGACCCAATCCAGTTTACCGGCTAGCGTTTTCACCCTTCGTTGTCAGGTCACTAATAGTAATAATCGTTCAGTTGTAGCGTCCTTTCGGTGCCTACATGCCATGCCACCCGAAGGAGGCATGAGGGTTGGGATACTGCTTGGCTGTCCAAGCCTAGACAAGAAAAGTCGAGATGCAGTGCTCGGGTTCGAACGACGGACCTTCCGGTCAGCAAATTCACACTCTAACCACTGAGCTATTTCGTAGATTTTCCAGCATTGCCATGTTGGCCCGTTCGACTGGTTTTAGGAAAGATCCATCTAACCTCGATATTCATTAGGCTGCTTTGCATCAAGATGATCTAGACAGAAAAATCTCTATCGCATGTTGAAAATGAAACAAACTGTGCAGCGAGGTTCCCAAGATACGGAAGAAGGAATACAGCAGTCTAATTTACTATAAAAGCAAAGTTATACTGACAATGGACGCAGCTGGTAAACAAGCGAGATCTACTTGGAAACCGGAGTGGATGTTGCTCAGTAGGTCAATCGTGAGGATGGAGTAAAGATAAAGACATGTGCAAGCGGAGCGATCCGTGATGAACGCCCGAATACTGCTTAGATGGATCGACCTACCGGGACCAACAGAATCTGCAGTACTCTTTTCCGGGGGATACTGAGGTGTGAGATTCATCTTCTCTATGATAGACTGAGGGGCGGGAAGCACAGGGAGTGCAACCGGTGGAATATTTTGATCCTGTTGTTTCATTTTTTGTACAGCTTCTGGTTGATGAACCGGAGGGGGAGCATGCGGTACATCATGATCTCCCATCACTTCCCCACCGATTGGTTTGTGGACAGGTTTCGGTATCGTGTGTACCACTGCTGAAGGCACATTGGTATGGAACTGGGAGAACAAGAATATCGATCCGACTAGTGCAAAGCAGATATATAGGGTCCGTTTCCGTCTCCAGAACAGACGAACCATCAGATGCGGTGGGGATTTGTGTGTATATGCTGTGGAAAAAGTAAGGAAAAAAGTGCCTCGGTAGAATCAAGTCGTTCAAGCTTGGAACGCATAGCTGCTACGCAAATTGGAAGAGAAAGGAAGAATGAAATATTTCCGGGTTGTCCAGGCATGGACAAGGGCGATTGAACGGCCAGAGGTTGCCTCGAACCACGGATCGTCTAATGTTGAAACCGAATGAGAACCAAATGATACCTCATCCTCAGGGTAGGAAGAAGGACAAGCTTTCTTCAGCAAGAAGTCCAGGGGGCACCACAATAAAACTTCGCATTACACAATGTTACAGAGAATTCACTCAGCCGGTGAAAATACGGGGCTGGTTGCTCACTCTCCGTCAAATAACAATTTTTCCTTGCCATAAAACTACACGAATCGCAATCCAATTTCGAAGCACCAGATATTCATGGATCCGTATTTATCACTTGCGGTTCCAATAGGGAGTTAATTCACCAGGCCTCAAATCAGGGGAACAAAAGCTACCTAACTGTACGAATGCGTCCATGAAGTGAACTGAACTGTTTGTACCCTTGTGAGGTGATAAAAAGACACGTTGAAGGACTGGAAATTTCGGCCGAGAAAAATTTAAACTCCTAAATAGCAGGATGAAACATAAGGTGTACGGAAGTCTGCCGTCCAGCCGTTCCTGAAACTGTGTGGTATGAAGCCGGACAACTTTGTATCCGAGCCGTGTAAGAAAACCCTATTACGCTAGTTCAGGTAAGCAGATGGACGTTACCTGTGGAGCTCCACCTCGAAATGGTGAAAGTGATCGGATTCGCACTGCGTTGCCATCTAGATGAGTAATTCACCTGACACTGCTACACGTGCTAGCGGTTTCGCTTCAGCTTTTGAAGACCAAGAGATGACTTCACATTACGTAACTTCAACGAAGTGGATACGAAGTAAAACGTATCCCACAACATGCGCACACATCGTGACTTGAAGAGATGGACTAGTTTAACTAAATAATAGGGAAATATTTTGTCAACGGATCCGCAAACTCCCGGAAACTTGTTGGATCTGAACGAGGATAAAAAATAAAAACCCTTTCCTAGTTCCATCTACTGAAGATACCTGCTAAAAACATAACGGTTACAAAATTCTTGACTATCTTCATTGCACTGACTGAATTCGAAGCGTGATACTGTGAACTCGGGGTGACTCAGCGGCCAACAAGCGAAGGTTTGTGGTTGAAAACAAACCTTGGATTCTCGACTGCTCCTGCCTAAGCTGGTGCAACATGTCAGTAACTTGACCCCGATACTTCTTTCGGTTTGCATGACAGCAATGCGCCGAAAGTGTGCCACAGCCAGGATAAATCAACATACGTTTTGTAACGAAAAGAAGGAGAGTTCATGATCACAGACGCTCCATAAAAATAATAAAACATACAAGCTTACATTCCATGCAGTCATGTGGAAAAAAGTTAAATGAGGCACCATCCAAAAATAGCAGTGATATTCTGGAGTAGAGACGTCAAGCACTGCTAAATAACTTGGGAGAATGAAGTAGAAGGCCAGTTTACTTGGGAAGACGAGTAGGGGAAGTTTGACATGAGCAGACCAGGAAGGGCTTTTGGTGGTCTATATCAGCGGCGTTCTTGTTTCCAGTGTCTATCTAGATTGTCTGAACGGGTGCCCTGATGTGTAGGCGTCTTTTAGATATACTGAGGTTGTGCGGCAGTGAAGCATCAGTGAAGAAAACTGATGTTGTGTTGTCGATGACGATGATGATGATAAATTAGTAATATTGATGTAACAATCCTTCAGCTGTCACATTTTCGGTGCCTAGCTGCTGAGGCACCCGAACGAAGCACAAGAGATAAGAAACTGTCAGGCTGTCCGAGTCTGGACACTTGCAGTCGAGATGCCGAAGTTTGGTTCGAACCACGAATCTTCTGGATAATAAGTTGGCCCCTCAACGACTGAGCTCACTCGAGATTTTGGTGACAGAGTATCCGAAAGGAATGGATAAAGCGGTAAGGGGATGGTGGATGGGTCCGGTCGAGTACAGGTTGGACCGAGAACAGCGAGCGGAGAGGGAGATCCGAGAGGACTTAGATGAGAAAGAATGCCGTTGCAATCGACATGACTCATTTGAGGAATCAAATAAAATCAGGGTTAAGGGGTAGAACCAAAGTATCGTCGTATACCAGGTGAGCGGAAGTGCGCAGAGAAAAGCAAGATGAGGAATGACAGAGAAGGGAGTCTTTTTGGAAGGAAGCCTAAAACAGGTAATTAAGTGGTAAAGTGATGCTAAAGTGATGGAGAACACATCACTTAGGAACTCCTTTACTTTTCTTGGTAGGGAGAGCAAAGCCATCATGGCACACATGAATAGTGGCCATTAAAGTGAGAAAATCCATTATTGTAAAGGCCTGGTTTCGACTTTGTCTTGTCACGTTTACAGCGGACGAGACAAAACCGGCCACCAATCGAATACGAACTATTGGACAGCAGTCGACAACCATAGCTATGGCCATCTGGTTGAGATCAACCGTGGTTACTACGGAAGAAAATACCTCAAGGTAACTAATTTGTAACTCAGCCTGTTCGATGGATAAGACAAATGCACCATATTAGTAGGGATGATAACATAGGTGTTGACACCGACGCTTCACTACGGTTTAACCAAAGTTAAGCTAATAATATTTGAAACATTGAAGTGAGGAGAGAGTGGGGAATGAGGGGGACCTAGTACTAGCTTATCGCAAGCGCTCCAAGGTGTTTGCATCCCCAAGCGCCAAATCAGACAATGTGGAAGGAAAATGACACAGAGACAGCATTCATATTGAGGTCAGGTAGGGTGGAAGACAGAGCATGCGAAATTTTGAGAAAAGAGGCACTAGCAGTAGAATCTGTTCGCCTACCCGCTCTGCTGTGGGGCTAGTGAAGCGACCGGCTGATAAAACCACACGACGGTCGATGTAGTATGATAATATTTTGGGTTGTGACGTTCAGGGTCGTACGCGAGCTGGGATAGTCAGGGCGTCTGCACCTTTCATTATGCTTTTGGACGTAGAGTGGAGGTATGAAAAGCCGAACCAACATCAGCTCTTCAGCTGCCAAGACCTTGGATCTGAATGCTCCAAGTTTGCGGATTGGACGTTCGGCACCTGGTCAGGTTCCGGTAAGTGCGCGATTATGTTGATAGACTGGTTAGGGCTGGTTCAACTGTGGTACTCTTTCGGTGCTTAACTTTCAAGCCACCAGAGGGAAGCGCCAGGGCTGGGATAATGCCAGGTTGCCCAAGTCTAGATAGAGGAAGCCGAGAAGCAGAGGTCGGGTTCGAACCACGAGCCCTCCGGTAAGTAAATTCGCGCTCTAACCACTTGAGACATCTCGCCCCTGCACA